CTCACCTTGCATCTGCTCAACTCAAAAGCAGGAAGGACTTCGTATGAAGTGAAATTTGAGGACCACTATTGCCATAAGGCCCGAACTGCTTTAAAATAGCTTTCTTTCTCTGCAGCCTGCTATGTCTCCACTGTTGCTTCCTACTTGGCCTGAAAATTTTATTGTTATAGTTATTTGATATAAAAAACGTAGTTTTTTTTGCTCTAGAAAGCAACTATTAAAGATACATATATGTTGTGGGACCACATGGAGGCCCTCCCCAAAGCTGAAAGAAAAAAATATAGAAACATAAATTTAATGAGAGAAGAGTAAGGAGGAAAGGGTTGGTAGTCATGGAGTTGGGGGCAGGAGTTGGGGAGTAGGAGTGGCTGGCCAAAGGAAGGGAAAGTCCTGGGTGGAATATGTACACATTCATTTATTTATGCAGTAGTATTTGTGGAGCCAGGTACTATGCTAGGTGCGAGTGGGCCACAGTGACACAGTCCTTACACTCCTGGAGTTTATGGCCATGCTGTGGGATTGGAGCTAGCATAGATTGAGAAAAGTCTCCTTGAAGAAGACCTTCCGTCTCTCCCTCCAAATCTTGGTGCTTCAGTCCAGTCACATTGCCTCATTCCATGTGGTGGGTGGACAATGATGCTAATGTTCTCGAGGTCACACTCTTGCAGTTCTTCATCCAATGGGAAAAAGCTTCCCTTCATTTCCAATTCAGGAAATTTCAGGGAAAGACTCAGAATGGCTCAGCTTAGGTCACATCCTACCTCTTAGCCAATAGTCAAGAGACTGCAGCACTTACTTGCATTGGTCCAGTTTGGGTCACATGTCCCCCTGGTTTTTCTTTTGTGGAGGGGCAGTATGGTAGAATACTGTAATTGGTAGCCTCACCAGCATCTGGGGTTGGGAGGAGGTGGGAAGGAGCAGTTCCCCAAGTGGCAGAGATGGTACTGGGCTGTCAGAACTAATAGATGTTCCCTACCTCCTCAGCCTTCCATGTCTCATTCTAGGACTGTACAGAGGGGTGGAGCTGGAGTTAATCCTGAAGTAATACTGCTATCTAGAAATGCAGAATTTTCCAACTCTGAGCAGATGGGAAGGACTGGCTGTATTGATGAACGTACTGTAATTTTGAACTATAAAAATATATGAAAAACTTGGAAAAAACACTCATTATTTCACACTGACACATTATCATCTTATGCATTCCTTTCCCACCTTTATCCTTAAACATACATCTTTTTTTCTTTTTTGAGACAGGGTCTTGCTTGGTTGCTCTGGATAAGAATACAGTGGCATCATCATAGCTCACTGCCACCTCAAACTCCTGGGCTCAAGCAATCCTCCCACTTTGGCCTCCCAAAGCACTGGGATTATTGAATCTCAGCTGGCCAATGCAAGATGGGAGGATCAAATGAGACCAGGAGTTTGAGACCAGCCTGGGCAACATAGTGAGACCCTATCTCTACAAAAAAATTTAAAAATTAGCCGGTTGTGGTGGCTTGGGTCTGTAGTCCCAGCTTCTTGGGAGTCTGAGCCAGGAGGATCACTTGAGCCCAGGAGTTCAAGGTTGCAGTGAGCTGTGATAGGGCCACTGCACTCCAGTCTGGGCCACAGAGCAAGACCCTGTCTCAAAAAAAAAAAAAGAAAATCATTTATACATAGTGTCTTGAATACCAAGCAACATGTTGAATTTCAATTGATTTGTTTAAACATCAATATTTACATAAAAATAATTTGCATGGCTCTCCGGCAGCGCAACCCCCGCGTTCGCCGGTGCGTTTCCCCGGGTGGGGGCGGGGAAGGCAGAAACGCGCGTGCGCGGGGAGAGACCGCCTGGGGGGCCCGTCTGGGGGGGACCGCGGCCCCCAGAGGTCGCCCTCCCGCCACCCCGAGGTTGGCGGGGCAGACACGCACGCACGGATGGCCCCGTGCGGCCCCTGCACAGCTACTGAGCGACAGTATTTAGACACATACGATGAGGCCTCCGTTTGAATCTTGCCCAGATGCTGCAAACGCCAGGCTGGAGATGAAATGAAAAAGCAAAACGGGTATTCTCAAGAAAATAATTCAGTTCAAACCAGAATGAAACACTACCAAAACTTTCTTCTAGACTACGGGCCATTCCCTCTGTTACAACATGGTGAACTTGGAACCCTTGCATGCTGCTGGCAGGAATGTAAGACAGTGCAGCTGCTTTGGAAACCAGTCTGACAGTTCTTCCATAGGTTAAACAGCAACTCTACGCCTAGGTGTATACCTAAAAGGAATGAAAACGTAACGTCCTCACAAAAACTTGTACGTGAATGTTCATAGCAGCACTATTTGTAATAGCCCAAAACAGGAAAAAACCTCACGGTACATCAACTCATGAATGGATGAAGAAAACGTACATCCATACAGTAGACACAGTGGGACGTACTGCAGTATGACAGAGAGCATGGTTCAGGCCTGAAAAGCAGTGAAGCACTGACACACTACAGCGCCGTGAGAGAAGCCAGACGCAGAGGCCACAGGCTCTGTGGCTCCATTTATATGAAACGTTGAGAACAGGCGACTCCAGGGAGATAGAAAGTAGATGAGTGGTTGCCAGGGGCGGGGGTGGGGATGAGGGTGACTGCTAAAGGGTTGGGCTGTCAACGGAAAAGAAGCCAAACTCTTTATAATAATTTAAAGACGGTTATTCTGAGCCAAATTTGAGGACTGTGGCCACGCCCAAGAAGCCTTGAGCAAGTGGTGTCAGTAGGGTTACAGTTTGGTTTTATACATTTCAGGGAGACAGGAATTACACCTAAAGTCATAAATCAATACGTGGAAGGGGTACATTGGTTTGGCCTAAAAAGGCGGGACATCTCAAGGTGGGGGCTTACAGGTTATAGGTGGGTTTAAAGACTCTTTGACTTGTAATTGGTTAAAGAAATGAAGCTTTGTCTATAGGCTTGGAATGTTTTAAGATAAGGAGTTGTTAATCCGAGATAAGATGCCTGCCATACATTTGTGTGTAAACTGAGGACTTGCAGGTTTGTCTCAGATGGCCTTAGGCCAGTCCATGGGTTACAAAGGATGTCTCCAAGAAGGGAGGGAGGGCAGGATGAGGCATGTCTGACCTCCCTTCTCATAGTAACTCAGTTTTAGGGTATCCCCTTGGCCAAGAGGGGGTCCATTCAGTCAGCTGGTTGGGGGGAGGTCCTTAGGATTTTATTTTAGTTCACAGGGTTGCTTGTTGGGATGATGAAAATGTTCTAAACTTGATTGCATACACTCCTAACTACACTGGAAACCACTGAATCATACACTTTAAATGGGTGAAGTATATGGCATGTGAATTCTATATCCATAAAGTTATTTTTATTTATTTATTTTTTTTTGAGACAGAGTCTCACTGCGTTGCCCCAGCTAGAGTGCCGTGGCATCAGCCTAGCTCACAGCAACCTCAAACTCCTGGGCTCAAGCGATCCTCCTGCCTCAGCCTCCCGAGTAGCTGGGACTACAGGCATGCGCCACCATGCCCGGCTAATTTTTTCTATATATATTTTTAGCTGTCCAATTAATTTCTTTTGTATTTTTAGTAGAGACGGGGTCTCGCTCTTGCTCAGGCTGGTTTCGAACTCCTGAGCTCAAACAATCCGCCCGCCTCGGCCTCCCAGAGAGCTAGGATTACAGGCGTGAGCCACCGAGCCCGGCCATAAAGCTATTTTTAGAAAATGAAAAAAAAAAAATAATTTGCATGTATAAGTTTTTTGCATTGGTGTGCTCACTCTGGGAAACTTGAAGTACCAGATGGATGGTACACTGTATTGGCAAATATTTGTTGAGCTCTTGCTATGAGTATGGTAGTCTTCCGGACACTGACGGGGATACAGACATAAATAAGACATACTTCTGGCCTTTAAGAGGTCATAATCTAATGACTTGATAACATTAAAATATTCCTCAAATGTAATTAACGTATAGTTGTTCAATCAAAAGAGTAAAGAGAAATACAGACATTACGGCATACAAACACAGTAAAAAGAAAAAGTATCCTTGAATACTTGCATAGTGGAGAAGAAATGTAGAGGGGAGTGGAAGAGCATGGGACAGAACAGGGGTAAAAAGAGTGGTTGTGGGGAAAGCGAGGCAGGAGGCCTTCTGAATTGGGGTTAGAGTCACACTATGTAACTGGTAAATCAAATTGTTGAAAATGAGATCACACTTAAAGATGTGTCCCTTAAAAGGAAGGTGGGTGTTAAATTCACATTTTGCCTAAACTGGGCTGCTCTCCCTCCAGACAGAGCCAGACTTTCTGTGGAAACATTTTAATCATGGACGACCCCCCCACCACCGAAAAATGCACTCACTACCAGTACATGGGATATTCGGAGTTCAAGGGACCCACGGAAGCCCATCTCCGGGCTCCGCTGATCCCAGGTTAGGCCCCAAATTCAAAGGCAGCAACGTTTCCAGCCCAACGACGCCAAAAGACCACGCCTCCAAATGTTCTGCAACCTCGTCCATTCCAGATTTTTCCGGGGTTCTAGGCAAACTGGCCTCGCCAAGGATTTCGCCCCGGCGGCTGCTCTCGTTTTTAAACACAGACCGGTGTGCGGGAGAGGCCATTATTTTTACGGGGTCAGTGTGCTCCAGGAGCAGCAGGGACAGGCAGAGCGGCTTTACCGCAGCGCCCGCTCCATCCTGACCCGGCTCCTCCCTCGGCCGCCTCCTCCTCCCTGGAGCCTCCGCCCTCCTCCCTGGAGCCTCCGCCCTCCTCCCCTCTGCTCGCCCCGCGGACCCGGCCGATACCCGCGACCCGGTTCCACCCACCCGCCTCGCGACCCCGCCCCCAGGCCTCTGGCCGCGCTCCTCCGCCCGAAGAGCCAGTGAGCGTCCGCGCGCGCGGCAAGGCCCCGCCCCACCGCCTGAGTTGACCAATGCGCGTCCCAGGCCCCGCCCCGCCCCGCCCGCAGGCCCCGCCCCGGTGCCCGGCCCTCCGAGGCCGCCTCCCTCGGGGCGTTGCCGTCGCTGCGCCTCCGCCGCCCGCGCCGAGCCAGATGCCGCCCCCTCCGCCGGGCCCTCCCCCGGCTGCCTGGCGCCTCCCTCCCGCCCCACCGCGGTGACTCACCGAGCGGGAGGCGGAGGCTGAGGCGGCCGCTCCCGCTGCTGCTGCTGCTGCCGCCGCCGCGGCTGCTCGGGCTGAGCGCGCCCCGGAACAGGCCACCGCACGCTGCGCCCCGGACCCGCAGCCCCCGCCGGCCCGGCCGGGTCGGGCGGCCCAGGTAAGCGCCGAGGCCGGCCTGCGCCCGCGGCGCCCGGCCCACGCCGCGCCGGGGGTCGGGGGAGCCACCGGCCCTTTGTCTCCCGGGGAGGGGCCGCGGAGGACGCCCCCGACCCCGCTCGGACCCACCGGCCCGGCCCCGGCGGCGAGGCGCCCTGGTCTGGGCCTGGCCTGCTCGCCCCGCCCGGCCGCCGCCGCCTCCCGCCTCAGGCCATCCTCCTGCCTTGCTCACCTTCGCCCGGGGGTCGCCTCCACAGGTGTCCGAGCCACCCACCCTGTTGCTCACCGCGTCCGGGTGGTTGTCATCGCCCGTCTGCCCTCCTGTTCCCTGTAGCCCCCTGTCTCTTTTCTCACCTGCGCCCCACTCCCGGCATTCTGACTCTCCATATTTCTCCAAACTAAATTCTGCCAAGGTCTGGCTACTGGGCCGCCCTTCCTTCTCTCTAGTTTGATTGAACTGCCCTCTCCCTGGTTAGTGTTCCTGGAAGGTATACGTTGGAGGCACATATCTCACCTGTATGGCAGGTGTGTATACATCAACCTGCAGAATTAACTACTCGGAACCCAAAACTGCACTTCTCACCTCCTTTTCATCACCCCACCGCGACCACCATCCTTTTTGTTGAACCTGGTAACCAAGGCACTTAGGTCTAGACACCCAACCTCTGTTAGGCCTTACATCCCTCCCTCTGTCTTGTGTGCTCAACTTGTCTGAGCAGTGCCTGTTGTCTAGTTAGCCCCTGGGAAGGCCAAAGGGGCAGGGTTGGCAGCAAATCAAGAGTTTTATGTATAATGAGACGTGTGGCTTGCAGCACCTCCTATCTGAGGATCTAAGTGTGCTATAGCTGTTCATTATTTTGTCCCCTGTCGCTCAGAAAACTTAGGAAAACATGCCTGGCCAGCGGCTGGGTAAATTGAGGCACGGGGTGTGTTGGTAAGGGACCTGGAGGCAAGTCAGATTTGGTCTCGAGGTTCTGTTCCCAAGTTCCTTGGCTCTTAGCTCCTGCTACAACCACTGGGCTCTAGTTCCTGGCTTTAAGCCCTAAGTGATAACTGATCTCTTGTGCCATTAAAGTGTCCAGAGATATCAGCAGACTCCTCGGATCTAAAGCAGAACTTTGAATCATAAATAAAAGCGCCAGCTGTTAAATGCCAGTGTGTCATTCATGGTTTCCTGGTAGAGTTAGTGGTCCTCCCTTGTAAATGCAAGTCACTTCTGTGGGATGGAGGTTCATTCATTCAATAGTGAGTACTTACTATGTACCAGGCACCATTCCAAGTACTGGGGCTTCAGTGGTGAAGACAAACAGTCCCTGCTCTCCTGGAGATGACATTTTAAAGAGCATGGAAGACAGACAGTAAGTGAGTAAACAAATAAGTGGACAAAATAATTTCGGTAGTGGTAAATGCTGTGAAGGTGGGTTTAGGCCAGGACATGCAAGACTCTGTAGGTCAAAAAAAAAAAGATTCTGGAGCCCGGTGCGGTGGCTTGCATCTGTAATCCCGGCTACTCAGGAGGTTGAGATGGGAGGATCCCTTGAACCCAGAAGTTTGAGGATGCAGTGAGCTATGGTCACACCACTGCACTCCAGCCCAGGTGATAGAGTGAGACCCCATCTCTAAAAAGACAAAAGAGTTTGTAGGTTGTAATAAAGAGTTTGGATTTTATTCCAAGAACAGTTAGAAGCCATTGGAACATTTCGAAGTTTGTCTCCTTTTTTGATGTAGGCATCTATTGCTATAAGCTTCCGTCTTAGTACTGCTTTTGCTGGATCCCATAGGTTTTGGGCCATGGGAGGGTTTTAAGCAGAGCGATGATAAGATCTGATTTGTTTTAAAAGATTGTTCTGGCTGCTGTATAGAGACTGGATTGAACAGTGCAAAGGTGGAGGAGTTAGGAGACAGACTGTTGCAGCTGCCTGGCAAGAGATAATGCTGGTTTGAGGGACCGAGGCAGTAGCGGTAGAAGTGAAGAGGTGGAATCAGTCTGTTCCCCTGGGAGAGGCTGAAAGCTGTAAAGCAAAACTCTGGGGCGTGCTGACTGAGAGTTAGATGTCCGGTAGAGAATTTCTACACCTGACCATGCTGAGGTTTAGTTCAGCAACCTCATTCAGTGAGCCAGGTACTGGGTTAGCATCTAGGGATATGACATGCATAAGGTAAGATGCCTGTCCTTGAGCTTATGGCTTAGTGGATTTTATGATTTAACTCACAACAGTCCCTGGGTTATAACAACGTGCTTACAGAACAGGTCCCCTCCTCCTTGATTGCAATGGGTTTGTGGGTTTAAAAACCAGTTAGAGGTAGAGGAGGGCAGAATACACTGGGCTTCTTTCCCACATTTGGGGCATTATTTAAATAGGAGCATTATTGTCCCGCCTCTGTCGTAGGATGTTGCACAAAGAAATTGGGACTGTTCTCATGGTAGGTGGGAGAACAACTCAGTGAACTTGAGCTGTTAACCAGAATAAAACTTGGTCTCCGTGCTGCTCCAAATCTGTGCTGTCAGAACATGTCAGAATGAGAGGACCTGGGGGGTTACATAAGCCAGCCCCCTCTTTTATGGTTAGGCGCCTGTGGCCCTTCAAGCTGGGTAACTCCTCTGAAGACTCATAGCAGTTTATACATTTTCTTGTGGTGCCTGTCACTTTCTACCTCTGTTTCAGCTCCAAGTGCAAGCATGTGACTCTAAGCTTTCTGAGGCCAGGATCTCTATTGGAGTCATCTTTGCATACCTCACAGTGTCTAGATTGGTGCCCTGCACAAAGAATAAACTCGTCGAATATTGATTGACTTACTTGGTATCTCATAGCACCTAAAACTAGAAGCCGGGACTTCTGACCCTGTCCCTGTCTTTTCATCAGACCATGCTTCCTTGCAGAATCTTCATCTGGGGTGCGATACAGTGGTAAGCCCAGCAGTCTCTTGGTCACTGCGCTCACAGGACAGGGCAGCCCTTACTTGATGGATCTGCTCTCTCTCCAGCCCTGCCTGCAGGGAACAGCTGCTGAGGGTGCTGACCGAGTAGTTATTCGACACTCAGCAAATATGAAGCGTAGCTCTTAATCAGAGCATGGACTTTGTACCAAGACTGGGTTTGGATCTCTTGGTTCTGCCATCATGAGCTATGTGATCTTCAGCAGGTACCTTAACCTCTTCATGTCTCAGTTTCCCCATTTGTATAGTAATAATACCTTCCTCATGGAGTTGTTGGGAGGATTAAATTAATTAGTTCCTATTAGATGCTCAGAACAACACCTCACACTTAGTATGTGCTTAATTGAAGTATTAACTATTAATATTATTTTACCTTTATTTATCTACTTCTTATCTCCTGCCAGAATTTAAGGTTTTTGAGGCAGATGTTTTGTCTTTTTTGTCTGTTGTTACAGTCTAGTGCTTAAACTCTGTAGGTACTCAGAAAATATTCGTTGAATTGAATGACTTATTGAGCATCTACGTGCTAGGTTCTGTTGTAGGTGCTAGGGATGTAGCCAAGAACAAGATCACCAAGGCGCATGGTCTAATGAAGTTTATCTTCTAGTGGGAGAGACAGATAGTAAACAAATAAACAAATGAACAGAAGAATGTAGGATGGTGAAAAGACACAGGAGAATGAAATGGGGCAATGAGATGGAGAGTGGCTGGGATGAGGGTTAGGGTCATAACTTGAGCTGGCTCTGAGGAGGTGACTTTTGAAAGGACACCTGGATAATGATCCAGAGGGACAGCTTCATGGGCAGAGAGGACAGAAAAAGACATAAGCCCAGAGGGGCTGGGGAGCAAGGAGGCAGCATGGGTCTGGGGCCATGGTTAGGAGTGTGGATTTTACTCTTAAATTCTGAACAGTGGGAAGTCGCTGCACGGGAACTTTTCCTTAGGGTCTCAGAGAATATTTGAATCCATACTAAGAGAAAGAACAGGATGATAGGAAGAGCAGTTGGAATGGGCTGTCCTAGTGCTGGAAGGCTCTTGGAGGCCAGCAAGCTAATAGTGTTGAGTTTCTTCGCGTCAGGTCCCTCATTTCTCTGGCCTGGGTACCCAGCAGAAATGGGAACCATCAGCTAGGGTGACAAGGTCCTGGGATATGTGCCTGTGTGTCCTGCAGAGTCCATTGAGCTTTCTTTTCTCTCTGAGTCCCTAAGTCATCAGCAGACATTTCCCGAGTTGAATGAATGAGTATTGTCAGCGCTTAGCATCTTGTCCTCTGCAGCGGGATGTCCATGTTCTGTGCTCTCTGCGTGAGTTAAAGCTTCTTATCTTGGCAGTGACTCTTAAGTAACCTTGGAGTTTTGCTGCTGTTCTTCATATGTGCATCAAGGGTGCGCACACACATGCACATCAGAATCTCTTTGTTGGGGGTGTACCAAGGCTGATTGACAGCTTTCCCCCCTTCACCCCCACTTCTCTTCCAGTTTCCTGCCGACTGTCACCAGACCACACTGTCACCTCTGAACACCTCCTGTTTGGCCGCTTGATCAGGAACATGGTGGAACCTAGAAAGCATTGGCTCTTTGTTCTGGGCTGACTGGAATTAGGCAGCTCAGCAGAGCACGCAGAGAAATGGCGTTTCAAACCCAGGGGCTCAGCTCACCAGGAATGCAGAATCGGTCTCTTTAGACTGGGTGCATTTGGCCAGCTCTTCAGATCCTCACTCAGACATCCCATCATCAGTTTTTGTCCAAGGTGCCACTTGCTCTGCTAACCTCGAAAGGCCAACATGGGAATCAAATAGGACTTTTGTGTTGTACGTCACTTTCAGGGTCCTGGGGCATTTCACTGGCAGAACCCGAAATGCCTTTTAGTCATGTGTCACCTCTAGCCTCATAAAAACTAAACACAGAGTGGGTGCAATCTTTTTTTCATTTAACTGGTTTTCTTAGAGTAGTATGTGCTCATTTAGAAAATGAGAAAGTGAATGGTAGTGGCAGTTTATATACACTGTCTCATTTAATCCTCACTGTAGTTTCTGAGATACATACTTATTACCATTTTACATAT